CTTCTGGCGTGCTGGTAAATCTTTGCACCGCGCGGCTCTTCATCACCGCAGATGGCGCGCAGGTCGGCGGTTGTGGCGGTCGGTGTGCAGCTCCCATCTACGGTGGCCCAGGAGTCCAATCCTCGGGCCGGCCGGTGTCTGAGAACACGTCTATGGCGTCCAGTGGTGGAATTCCAGCCATTCCGGAGCGTGCGGATTCCTTGACGGGCCGCGGAGGGGTTAATGCAGTGGCCACGGCGGCCTGGAATGCGCTCATGTGGACGGATTGTGTTTGCCTGGCTGAACGTGCTCCTTTGTGAGCTGAATCCTCCATTGTAGACGCGGCTCGTCCTCTGACCTCAAACAGCTCGCTGGCTGAAAGGTGCCTTCACGGACACCTCTCCTGAACCCCAAGGCCTTCACGGACACCTTTCCTGAACCCCAGAGGCCTTCACGGACACCTCTCCTGAACCCTGAGGCCTTCACGGACACCTCTCCTGAACCCCGAGGCCTTCACATACACCAATCCTGAACCCCGAGGCCTTCACGTACACCAATACTGAACCCCGAGGCCTTCACGGACACCTTTCTTGTGCTCAGGGGGTTCTCTTCCATATTATTTGGGGCCATTATAGGTGTGTAGGATCTTCTCAGTGAAGGAAGCAGTTTGTCAGTCAAAGTCTTGTATTAGGAGGTCTACTCTCCGGGTCATCAGAGAACAATCCTCCAGTGAGCAGGAAGTCATATCCAACGGTCTCTTGAGTGTCTCTGGCCTTCTATCCAGGGGTCTCTTGGGGCCTCTTCCCAATGATCGCTCTATCCGAGTCCATCGTTGTGATTGGCCGGTCAGAGGAACCTCCAGGAAGCAAAAAAGAGATTCTGACATCGTATGTCCCGAGGATGATCCGTCTCACTTTTCAGGAAAGGAACTGAAGGCCGATTCATCCCGGCTTGTGGGATAGGCAAGGGTCAGGCACTGGTGACATCTCCCGGTCCATGGCCACCAATCTACAGATCTGCCACCGGATGAAATCTCAGCACAGAAGGTGACCACATGACACGGCTCCGAAACCTGGAGAACCCGTGTAAGAGATTTCTCATCTTCTGCATACAATCCAGAACCCCCTGAGAGAGGCCGCCGGACACTTTCTGTGGACCTTCCAGAACCTGCACGTAGGAGGGCAATGCGGGAATCCCCAGCAGAGGCTCCACACACACCACTGTGTTCTCTCAAATCCTCACCGACACCCCCGGAACCAGTTCTCCAAAGTCTGAGAAGCTCAAAGAACAAGCAGATCAGCAATACCCACCTTCCCATCCCCGTGACACCCCCCCGTCTTCCCATCCCCGTGACACCTCCCCGCCTT